ACATGCATCCACATGCCACATCCCGACCCCTCCGAGGCTGGCGATTGCCAACGAGCCGCACCTGAAAGAGCAGGCCCTGGCCTTGACTCCTGCTAGCCGCCAGAAGTTGCAGGCACAGGCGAAGCGCCGCTGCTTGCCAGAGAGCGTCCACGCGCAGACGGTGCGGCGAAGCTCGGACCGGAAGGGGGGGGCTGGCGGAGAACATTTGGAGGAAGAAGGCTTGATAGACACGGCAAACAGTAAAAAGAAGATTGTATTAGTATACATCCTCAGATGTTCAATTGTATTGACATTGGTCTACCGAGCCACTCACTTGACACAGAACAGCGCACAAATTGGTACCACCCTGAAATAGATACATCGACCTAGAAATGGCTACAGCTTAGTGCTAATTAATACCGCAAGTCGAAAAAAGGGAGGCGCTTTTTCCTCCAGCCTTGAACAAAAGGGGCTCAGTCGACCCTTCAGATTCGAACCTTCAAACTTGGTACACTTCTCGATTTCCGTGCACCTCAACCCTTCTAAAAGCTTGGTACACTTCTCATTTTTGTGCACCTGGACTCCCCCTCCGCTCATCGAGCGGATCATGGGTGCCCTGCTCTTTTACAAAACTCGGTCTTTCGACCTCTCTTCCTGGAAAAAAGATCCTTTCGATCTCAGCTCAAGCCCCTCAGACTCGGCGTGCGGAAGAGGGTGTAGCCGACCCAGGTGTCCGGCATGTAGGTGCTCCTCTTCCCCTGCCTGCGGTCCACCAAGATATGCTTCTCCTTCTTGATGGTCCCCCAGGCGATGGTCAGCCTCCACGGCAGCCATTCCCTCTCATCCCACAGATGGGGATTCTCAAAGTCGAACAGCTTTTTCCTCTCCTGTACGTGCTCACGGATCGTCACCTTCCCGCCGTCAGGCAGGTCCTCGATCGTCAGCCAGGTGTCCTTCGCCGCAGTTCTCTTTGGCGGTAGGCCCATCTTCCTCCTCAGTGCGGCAGTGAAGAAGCCCGGCTGGAATGACACGTCCTGCAGGAAGTCGAACACCTCCTCCTTCCACAGTGTCCACTTCCCAAGAGTAATCCCATCACCGACTGGTGAGATGAAGTTCAAAGCCTCACTCCGCATGCCGATGTTCTGGCCGGTGGTGGCTGTCTCCTCTGACCTCCCACTCCCAGCTGCTGCACTGCGCCCAGTCGTCTCCTTCTCTTCCGTCTCAATCGCCGCCACGCCCGGTGCCCTGCGGGATGCCGATGATGAAGTTCCCTTCTCAGCTCCTGCCTCAAGTCGTGACCCCTCCGGTTGACTTGTTCGTCCCGAACGATGCTCGTTGTAGATCACATGGGTGCCCTCCGAGTCGATCCTGATCCAGGTTCCGAAGTTTCTCCTTGGACCTCGTCTCTGCATCATCCTGTCCCAAGCTGCTGGGCCTAGACCCAACTCAGCTCTCCTGGCCGTCTCGGCCTCATAGTCATATAGGCTCCACGATGCCAAAGATCTGGATCGTGCAGGTACATCTGGCGGAGCCACAGGATGGTGTCGTCCTCGACCTGCTTCTTCAGCACTGGATCCAAGTGTGGCAGTCCGAACCTGAACGGACCCTCCCTCTCTCTCAGTGGCGGTGGTCCTGGCTGACGAAATCGGAGTCTCGACATCGTCCGACATGGCGGTCCTCCCAGGAGTGCCCTCAATCTCCCGGAATCGGCAATGTCCAGGAGGTAGGAGTAGACCTCACTCTTCAAGAGGTTCATCCGCTCATCGTCGAAGTCCAACCTTCGTCCACTCCGGAAACTCAGGGACCTCTGCCATCACATTCTCCTTAGCCTTCCGAATCTCCTCCGGCGACTTCGGGGGTGGTCCCGCTGGTGGGCTCGGCGGAGGGGTTCCCTTTGGAGGAGCCGGAACAGAGCCCTCCTTGAAATCCCTTGCCACCTTCACCTTCTCGGTGTCCTCAATCCGCTTCCGAAGTTCTGCCAGCTCCTTCTTGAGCATCGAATTCTGGGACATGACCATCTTCATGACGTCCCTCAGGTCCACACCCACCTCGTCCTCTCCAAGGTTCCCGGCGGCCATGGATGTAGATGAAGTTGTAGGCAATGATGCCGGTCTCATAGCCCTCAACATGGCCTCGTCCTTCATGGACTGACTCCAAAAAGGGTTCACCTCCACCGGCTTGGGTCCACCCTGACCCTTACCATCCCTCTTCCTCGAGTCTCCAGACCTGGCCTGGCCGTAGACCGTGGGATCACCTCTGGGATGGGCATCTCGGACCACCAGCTCCAACCCCAGGCTCGTGGTCGGCTGGTCCTCCAGCGCCAGCAGTCCTTCCTCCTTCGCGGAGGTCATCGACCCCTCGTCAGGGGTAGAGCCGGCGCCGCTCCCCATGGGAGCCAACGACTTGGTCGCTCACCCAGCGATCCAAGGTGGACTTTCTAGTGGGTTGGGCTCATAACCCGCAAGTCGAAAAAAGGGAGGCGCTTTTTCCTCCAGCCTTGAACAA